ATGACGAACAAACCACAGAATTAGTTCCAAACACTCTACAGCAAATATAATTATACTATCAAGTGACGGTTATTTATTTACAAATATATACAAACTTTTTGCAGCTTATGATTATAAAAATACCGTGAAGGTAACTTTAGCAACAACGTAATGTTTAAACAAATTACACATACTTCTATGTTAAGTTTTGACTAAACTAGTTTATATTTGACCTAAGACGACACATTATAATGTGTGACTAAAAAAATGTAGCTGGTTTTGTAAACTAGATAATCCGGGTTAAATATTTTAACATACTAAAATAGTGTACCTACTATAGTGACTATGCAATCTTAACCAACGTTATTGTAGGTTCACAAGATACTGCTGAATAATGTCACTAATTACAAATTTACACAAAAACTCAGAATTTAATAATCAAAATTTCTAGTATTTACAAGTAAAACGTTACGCCAGTATTGCCATCTGAAGAGGCTTTTACACGTACACAGAAATTTCGTCACCGACGAGGTAAACTTTTTACAAAATTACTTAATTACAAAATCCTCTTTTGTTATTTTAATTTAAAGGAACGACCATTATTTTGTCACCGTGTGCCATCGCATATAAATCAAGTAGGGCGTGTGGGCGAATCACAATAAATCAAAAAGGTCGTTGAAAGCAGTTGGAATTCAGGTAAAACTTTTTACCCTATTTATTTGGCATGGTAACTCGTAGACAGTGTGTAAAAGAATGCGATTATAGTATATTTCATATTATAGTATATATATATAATATTATATAAGTGTGAGAAAGCCATGCTTCGCCACGAATGAGCCGGTTCGACCGGAGTGATACCATGGTCTCACAGAAAACCGACGTGAAGCGAAGCTTGCGTTGTGTTTCGTCGTGTAAGTGAGGTTACCGGAGGCCCAATTACCTTCCCCTTCCCCAATCTCCCCAATCCCTGAATCCCCAACGGTCCTCAAACTCCTAATCCCCAAAACGGTAACGCACTTGTAACGCCTCTGATGTTCCAGGTGTCCATGGACGACGCCGATTGCTTACCATCAGGTGATCCAATTATGCCACAAAAAAAAATTCAACAAAATACACAAAACACTAAGTTTTGTGTGTTATGAAAATAAAAAGAAATCAATATGTTTATATAATTTTCATACTCGTCCAAAAACGTTTTCCAAAGTTCCCACGACAACACAAAGCCAATTAGGAAATTTTATATTGTTTTATAATAATGAAGCCCAAATGTTTTATTCATAAACTCATAATGCATTTATGTTATAAACAAGAGTTACATAAGTCATCGTGTTACTGAATATTATAATCATTTTATATGTAGTTAAATAAGTAATATACTGTACTATGTATTAAAATATAATGATTATGTTTGATACGTCGACTTACTTATACAATTGTTATTAATAGGAACTTCCGTTGAGATATTACCTAGGTAGAATAGTTTAGGATAAATAATGGATATTATAGGTTCATAATATAAACAAAGCATCGTAATAGCGGTAGACAGTTACATATAAACGAGTTTCGTTATGATTTTTTTGTTACATAGGATAAGGGATGAAAATAACCTTAATATACTAAGAATCCTGAACATTAACAATTATACAAATATAATTAAAAAGTCTACAAACCAAATTATAATTCATCGATCTAGAGATTGAAATCCATAAATTATGCATAGTAAGCTGTTCAAAGTATCAAGTAATAAAATAAAAATATTCATTTTATCAAAATATTTTATAGATTTTTGTTAACAATAGAATGTTGTGTCGCAATATTGTCTACAACACAATAGTAGTATTTCGCAAAAGTTAACACACACTATAGAAACATAGGTGTATCTATTTCAGAGTTGTGACAACAGCTATAAACTTGAATCTTCAAGATTTACCGATAATCTTTTTTCCCACTAATCCTTAATCCGTTGACTGAGTTTATGTATATATTGTATATTGTATATATATATTGATCTTTATAAACAAATATGGCTATATTTCTTTTTTTCAGAGGCTTTGTCCGCATTATCGATATAAAAAGTGCCCTATGTGTTATTTCATACCATAATATATCTCTGTACTACATCGTTTAGCTCTGTTGTGTATTATTTGCGTGAAAGAGTATCAAACATACATACGTACATACTTACAAACTTTCCCATTTATAATATAAGTAGGATTTATATTATGTACATATATGTGTGAGTGTGTATAATGATGTTAATACGAAGTTCCAAACGAACTCATTGTGTTTTCACTCACGTACTATTTCTTAATCTGTCTGTCATGAAATTTGAGTCAGTTTTTATTATATTCAATTATATTTATATTGAAGTAGCTTTATACACCTACCTATATAAATTTTGCATGCCGTAAGGCAAAATGTACTGGGATTCTCCATAAGCTTTATAACAACATATTTGTTACCTACATTTTTGGCTGTAAAAAACCTAACCGGCCTGACAGTTCCACAAGCCATAAAGACCGCAGAGGACAGGGGCGTTTGGAGGAGGGTTGTGCATCAAGTGACGCGTGCACCAGACTAGACACGACCTTCAGTAATGAAGAAGACGACTAGGAAGGAAGGACATTTTTGGCAAATAAATTATTTCTGATTTCTGATTTCTATATTGTGACACTGATCTATCTATGAACAAATAGTTTAAATACTTCCTCGTATGGGGACTCGTATATACTTTACTGAGTAATGTTAAAGGGAAATGTCAGTTACCTAATTTGAAACAAAAATTTAACTAGTATCATAATTATAGCATACACACCTGTACAACAACACAAGATATTTACTTGCGACATATTTATTAAACGCCTAGGTACAATTGACATACCTGGTTATGAATTTATTGATATACGTCTATAAATTAATTATAAATTGAAATGATGAACAAGTCTTACTAAATTAAATTTAGGTATCTCTTTATTTACTCAAGTTACAACGATTATTTAAATTTCTATTTATGAAATCAGCATCCAATCCAAGCATCATATCCAAATTCATTGATGATATATAGTATAATAAATGCAGCGATACCTGTGTCAACTCCTTATCTAATTAAAAATCATAATTTTAATTAAATACATTATATAAAATCCTAAAAAGATTAGTATTGTTAAATGAGTATTTGATTTGTGGTCTTATGCCAAAGTTCATAAAAAAGTGCGGAGGTCTCTTTGAAACATAGAGTGGAGTGAGGAGCGCGTCACCGCGACCCATCCTCACATGATGTCAGCCTTCTGCAAGTGCTTGCAACTCGGGATATATATAAAATGAACGATCTTACACTAGTTACTCATTCGTTAGTTTGAACTCAAGACGAAAACTAAGCATCATGCTCAAATACGTGAGTGGAGATTTTTTATTTTACTTAAATTTAATAATTAGTTGAGTACATATAGGCTTTGAAAGATTAATATTCTGAAACGTTTTTTTGCAATTTGTTAATGAAAGTGTGTCGTGTCTTTTGTGATGAATCTGTAAGGTGTGGCAATGGTCATAAGATGGGCAAAAACAATGGTTCGAGGTGTCAGACCGGAGTGACTTGATGAATCCTGACCCCAGGGTTACGTTTGCAACAGCTGGCCTGTTATTACGGAGCCATCGCGTGCTCTCATGTTTTATTCAGGATTTAAATATCTGTGTACATTCAATTTATGTAGTATGCAGTGTGATTAGTGTTGAATTACTGTTTGTTGAAGGGGTCTTCGTTTCTTATCAGGGATTACTCGAATTTTAAATTTTCGCACATTTTGATCCTCCATAGACACAATGAGTCTGGTTTGTGCTTAATATTTGGTATAGTCACATTATCTTAAGATCTTGTTTACATTCCCGATAGTTTAAATAGGTTTGATAACAGGACTTGCTACTAATTTTCACCCAGAATATCGTTATTCCCAAACAAATAATTGTTTTTCCGTAAATCATTAGTAGTATTTTATGGCTTATTAAATGTTAGTATATTTAACTCATCTCGCTATATCAGTAATGCATGCAGCTATTTAACATAATATATTGTACCTAAAAGTCAGACCTTTAACTGGGTAACGGTTAACAATGGGTTGTCAGTTAAACTGTGAACGTTTACTGTCGCTACCTAACAGTTAGCATTTAACTGAAAGTGGGATGCAAGGAACATCTTCGTAAAGGAGGTTTGTTTAAACTATGGCTTATTAACAAATCGGTTGTATAATAGTCTAATGGACAACTCAAAAAAGCTATTAAAAAATAAATTTTAGTTCTAACTGCAGTGGATTATGGCGTTAAAACAAACAAATAAAGTTTTCAGCTCATAGTATAAATTAGGTAGGTATGTTAAATTTCACTCCCATTTCTTGATTAATATTACGCCTGTAAATATCCAATCTCCTAGTTATATGTCTGTTTCAATTAACAAGTATATTGTCAATACTAAAACCATAGGTTTGTAAATATAAAACTTTGTACATTGCATAATTACAAACAAAGTCAAACAAGACTCAAAAGACTTAATATAAACACTGTTTATTTTCCTTTTGCAAAATAATTGCAAACATTTATGTTTACTTTTTCACAAAAAAGGTGGAAGTTTTGCTACTCCAAACTTGCTTAAACATAAACAGTCACAGTAAACTAACATAATGTGAAAATCACCACTTTTCACCGCTAGTATTACTTTTAGAAGTCCCATATAATAGGGATGAGCCTATCAACCACACAAGACTCAATCTCATACTCTGTGCTAATAGAATGATGCTAAAAAAAACGCAATAAATCTTTGCTCGACCTATATGAATATATGAATCGAACCGGAAACCTCTTGCACGTAGTCACACTTGCGACTGCTAAGTAACGAGGCAGTCTTCATTAAACGATGCAAACAAATGGGCTCAACTGAAACAAACACTCGAGATATTACTCAACCGTATTATCGAACATAATATGTACAAGTAAACAGAAACCCTTTAACAAATATTGTTTTAAATGCAGTAATGTTTGCTCACTGCATGGGTGGCAACTGCAGTACGGTTAGTTTAATGTAAGATAATGAGGATTCATTTCATTTGCTATGACTTATCTTAAAATACACACGTAAAAAATGGAGGTTACACTATTTATGTGTACTACGGCACAACCGTAGTGATGTAGGATTAAGTAATCACATTTTTCTTCGATTTTCTTTAAAAATGGTCGTTCGTAGAAAAAAATATTGATTTCTTCTAAATTATGATTTAGGTTTCATTCAACATTTCTAATTCAGAACGTGTAACTGAAAACCTCGTAAATATAATCATATGTCCATTCCATCATATGTCTATTATAAGTTATCGACAATTCTTTTAAAAGCTCTATATATTTAAAATGCTAAACACTTATACATGTTTGTCTACAGGTAGTTTTGGTTTGCGTGCTAGTAGCGGTCTGCGCAGGCGCACCGCAGCAGAACCCACAAGACGTGCAGATCCTGCGCTTCGATAGCAACGTCGAGCCTGATGGTTACAGCTTCGCGTAAGTTTATCTACAAACGTCTTTTCTTTAAACTTTCACATTCGTTACAGTAAGGACTTTATCTACTCACGCGCACCTTGGCAAAACAAACTGCATTAACTAATTAGTATTTTTTATCTTCATAATATTTCTTTTACCAAAATAATTGACTAAGATATTCCTTCATACATTTTTTTCCCAGTTTTGCAAAATATATTTCACTAGCTTTATAATTTCCAACTATACTTACTACTAAACAAAAATTTCATTTATGTTTCATTCAATTGTAATGAAATCTTTAACAGAAAGACGGTGCCTTTGAGGCGAATATTAAATGAAGTTGTAGATGCAATAAAATTTAACGACATTCAACGATAGAAGAGATGTTTAACTACATACCTATATACGATACCTATATTATATAGTTTTGTCCTAAATTGTTGCGCGAACAAACGGCTATATAGCCTTTAAAGGCGTGTCGTAAACAATACAATATATGCTATATATATAAATGTATATGAATGTGTAAAGACCACCTAGTATTGGGAACATGCGACTGATAATATCATACAACCAATTACTAGTTTCCTGTAAGCCCTCAGAGGTCAAATGGTTGTAATTATTAACATAATTAATATTACAAAATCATTAACGTTTTGTAAAGCGTAATATAAAACGCATGACACATTCACCCTGAAATATATAACCTAATTTGCAAAATAGAATATTTGAAATGAAGAATAGATTAATCAATGACAATGAGACTTAATTAAACATACTACTTACCTATATGAAGGTAATGTATGGAAATATACTCTAGCATAATTACTTAATCAGTTGGTAAATGTAACCGTTTCTTGCGAAACCTACTGAGTTAAGAGTAGGCGATGACCCTTTGTGACGTAACCTACTAACATTATACAACTCCCATTGTAAACCATAAAAATAATATAACCATTTCAATCTGTCAACAGTGGCTTAAGTTTTTGCCTAATTATGTAATCGAAAGTTGAATATTAAATATTATATTATTTTTACGATGTATTGCATCAATCAACCCAAGCTATCAATGAGATAAAAACCCGTTTCACTTGATCAATAAGCTAAATAAATGGACATCGGTTGGTTTGTACCAACAATTGAAACTCTTCTGTAACAATACAGAAGAGTTTCAATATTATTGTAATAGTGACGCGCGTTGATGTCTTTTGTTCGCGTTATTAAATTGTTACGGCCCTTAGCGAGTATCTTGTTAAAATAATGATACTGTGAATTTGGACTACTTGTAAGATTTAATACTATCGTTCAGATATCATGAACAGTTCATTTTCTAATAAATCAGCATCATGTCGACGATAATGATCATTTTCTATTCTGAAAAACTACTGACATCATTAGGAACAAAATATTGTTTATAGAAAATAAATTACATAATTAAGTACACAACCCGATTTATCGTTATCCTTTATACAGCTAACTTACCAGTTATACATAAATACATGATCTACTTACTATTCACTATAGCCTAGTATACCTCTACAAGGAAACTGATGATACAATAAACCGTAATAACTATATAAAACATTTAAAGTAATAACATGTAATAAGTTCCTCGAGTTTTTAGAATACAACCTTGTTTTTCTGTAAAGCCTTGGTCGATTGTAATCATAAAGTCATTATATGACTGACTTAGGAGCTGATGATTCCGGGATCAAGGAGATCAGTTGGGGTCAAGGAGATAATAAAGATTTGTATTAAATAGTCATCACTCTTCATAAATCTGAAATTGTATAGCATAGAGATTTATTATATCAATAGCATATTTATTAAAAAGCTTTTTGTCTTTATGTATATACAATATACATAAAATATATACAATATACATAAAATACGCATTAGATATTTAGAAGTAAATAAATCTGCCTAGACTACTATTTTTTTAATGTAATTTCTGTATGTCAAAAAATTGATGATAATGAAGCCACACTCAATAAATAGCTTATATTAGAATTTTTATTTGATTATACTTTATTGCACACAAATAGAGAAATTACTTTAAATTATAAATAGTAATTTGAGTACAATTGGCGGTCATATCACACGCGGCTTTAATACTCTTGAAACAATTTTGTTTATAGTCTATACTGTTCCTCACGCAAAAAGTTGAATCATATTTGAATTAACTTTAACAATTTTATTACAGCTATGAGACCAGCGACGGCACCTCCAGACAGGAGGAAGGCAAGCTGGACAACCCTCAGTCAGAGAATGCTGCATTGACAGTCACTGGACAGTACGCGTACGTCGCTCCAGACGGCAAGCACTACACCGTCACCTTCACCGCAGGACCCAACGGCTTCCAGCCCAAGACCTCCCTAGGACAATAAGATCACACACCGAAATAATTTTGTAAATAGTAAATACTACTTTCAATAAATTTGCCAGGTCACAAGATCTCAACAGTTAAGGGATCTAATTCTAAATTCGCGTGCCATAAGGACGTCTTTTGTTTGTGATTTTTGTATATTGCTTTTTTGTACTTTTATAAAATTTTAATGCAATAATTAAAATACTTTTTTTTAATGCTCTGTTTTTTTTGTCAAAGTTTATTTTTGATAAACAATACCTGTATATTTTTTATTGACGTTTTTTATTGTCTCTTCTTAGTGTTTATTTAAATATTGAATTGAAAAATCGTGACATTATAATGCTGATTTTATGACATTTTATAAGAAGAATTTACATTATATCTATCGGCCTAATAAAAAAGTTATAGTTTTAGTCACACATTAAAAATTATTAAAAACACAAAAATTGTTCCATAATATATTTTTTGACTTTGAAGTAAATTCGCAGGGACCAAAAACGTTTCTAATTAAAAACAAATATACTGTTTATTGTTATTTGATGACAGCGCATTTATATTACTCGTCACTCAGCAAGGACGACTGGTGCTCATCTTGAAAATGTTAACAAAACCTAACATTAGAATTATTTTGCGTAACTTACATTTGATACTCACAATTATTTCTTCATTTTATACAATTGCTTGTTTATTTCTAGTTTTTAATTGCTCTTTATCCTGAACATCTGACTTTTACATACGAAAATGTGTCTGCAATATTTAACAGGATAAGTGGATGTCTGTCTATTGTCTAGCTCCTGCCTCACTTTACGAAATTACTGTTTGTGAAACTAGATGTGGTTATTTGCATAATAATTTTAAAATGACCATGTGTAAATGAATCACAGCTTTAATTGAAACACTTTAATATTTTCTATACGAAATCAGCCACACAACATTATCGGTGAAAATCGGGTGTTATATTGCACCTTCGGCGTGACATCATGTTATTTGAAATCAGCCAAGATATATATGTATTTAATTTATCTAACCAATTAACCGCTTCTATATCTGTATATACAATACAAGAAGCATATACTTATATATGTTATACCACCATTTGTTTGACAACAACGAAGTTGCAAATGTGTGTACCAGGTCTTTTGCAAGTCGTTAAACTGAGTATTTTTACCGGTTAAATACATATTTAACTTGTATGTAACGTTGGCGTCTAACGTAAATATTACAAAACGATGGTTCAGTAGAGTTCATATTAACAACTTTAATAACATACATTTGAAATGAAAGTTTAATGGTGTTAGCAATTATTAAATTCGAATTATCAATAAAATATCAATAGTATTGACTAATCAGCAGTAGGAAACTGAATCTCAGACGTTGATATTATCATTGCAAGTACTAAATATTTACAAAGCATCAGTTTCAGAAACCAACCAACTCGTATTCTAAACAATACTACAGGTCTTGAAGGAAATTGAAAGTCATTTTACAAGTTAGCGCAATAACATTAGGCTTAGAAATTTCGTATAGTTAGTGCTCAATGTATGTTTCGTAAATGTATCTAAATGCCAACGCACACAACGCATCGTCGTGAAGGTTCTTGCATCCGTTTATGTGAACCTAAAAGTTACAGTACCTAGGTGTATAGTTCAGCAACCTTCACATATCACGATACATACTGACCGGCTATCTAGATTTCTAGGATTAAAGATCCGGGTATAATTTAGGATGAAGAGTTAAGAAGACACTAATAATTCAGCTATTATCAAAGACAACTCCTGGTTGAAGATTTGGATGTACGTTTTTGGAAAATACATTTAAGTAACCCACGATTCATCGATGCTATGGCGTAATAATGTATGGTCCTAAAGAGGAACTCCATTAAAAAATCAATCATAATTCAGTCTAGCTAAAATCAAGGACTGAGTCCTCCTAGCCATGCGTTTGACTTTATCATCCGACCTTTGACTTCGTCAATCTGGTACTTAGTACTTGTTACGAGCAAGTTACAAATTTGCTAATAAACGTCGATTAGTAGTGGAAATCCCAATAGTTTAATGTTCTTCCGCTATCATCATCCTATTTAAACTTAGTCAAAGTAACGATAATGTCCAAAATACAAATAAGTAGGTACCTATACGTAAATTCTAAACAAATAGCTCGTCAGTAAATATAACATCAATAACGTTATTATTGGTAACCTTCATATGTTAGATTACCACCTATATTAACCACGACTTCGCCTGTGTAAATAAAAAACATAGTAAGATTAGTCTACGGCCTCTTTACTATCTCCAGACACCAAAATCACAGAATAAAATTGCTCCATTGCAACGGGAAAAATACTTTCGCATTTATTATTAGTAAGAGTTACATACAAAAAACCTTTTTCAAAATTAAGCAAATGACCTTGAATGCATTAGTGAGTTTGTAAGTATGCATGAGATTCACAATTTGTTTTATAAATTACGCAAGATCTAGTATTGTCATCGTGCGACAGATGGCAGTGTGTGCGGCTTTCTGACACGAGAGCTTGAACCTTCGTTATTTAAAACGGTTACAAAATAGCTGTGACGAAACTAGTAACCTTTTGTAGATGCGGCCGCACTTCAAACTATACAAAACTAGTGTATCATGGTCTTAAATTGTATGATCTTTTTGCACATTTAACAACCAGAATATACTGGTTTATTAGCTTGACGCATGTGTGTACATCAGTTGGTGGGGTTACGTTTGCTAGACTGCACAGTTTCGGTAATTGACCTTTTACCTCATTATGCGACGAGATGGCTAAGATTGATTTGACTGGCGATTTGTTCAATGTTTTATATTACACGGAAGCCTTTTGATGTGTATCTCTTAGGGAAAAATGTATGTAAATAAGTCTTATTTTAAATTTGAAATGTAGCATTTAGAGTCATTGCAATTAAAAACAAATAACAGTTACATAGAAAAAGTATAATTATAAGTTACTTTATACTGATAAATATTATTTTATATCGGTATGTTATTTAACATAATTGACTTGATATAATTATGCTTCTCCCATGTTATTGGAGGTATCTATTTCAGTGTTTCACTTTGTCCTATACCGATTCTACATTTGGAACTTGAATCCAATGATATTTTAGATTTTTTAATAAAATAATGTACGTTATCGTATCTTGCTTCATCATGAAAGAGGCTAAATGAAAGGTATTATGAAATAGTAAAACATTAGGTCACATTATTTTGTTTTTTTTTGGATCGTTATATCCAAAATTCTATATTTTTTATTTAAACTAAAGTGTTGTTAATTTGATATTCTTGTTGTGCGCCTACGTAAATTTTGAGAGATCATTACTTCAACGTAAAATCTTGCTACGAACGAAGGCGAGGCGTTTCAAAGAAATTAGTATAATCATCCTAAATAGTAGGTAGCTCTCTTGTCATGTAGTTAATAACGCAAAATCTTCGTGATAGGTACAAAATAAAATCTAATAGACGTTTAACTATTTGTATATAGTTTGAATTCTATTTGTTTGACAAACAAAGTTTTATTTCATTTTTCTTATGCTAATCTAAACGCCTGCCAATCGCGTTTGCAAGCAATCACTCTTAACATAAATAGTCACAGGTTTTATAAGGCGTACCTTATCGTAATTATATTCAATAAATATTTTTAATAATTAACAAAAAATAAATTATTATTTTATCGGAACTATCATAATGAACACGATTAAATCATAAAGTTACTTAATTTTATCTGATTCCACTACTAGATGGCGTAACAAGCAGACATGTCCAATAGGCCAATAATACTTTACTAAAAATATGTAAATGATATTCGTGATAGTATGACATCATACCCAACTTCGTTATAATTCCATTAACACGTACTTCAACTTGAAAGTGCTTAACCAGGATGTACTGAGGCTGCATAATTTGGAATTTTCATTAAAAAATATTCCGTATTGAATACTAATAGCAAAATTAATTTCAATATTCTAGACTCAAGAGAAATAAGTGTAAAGACAACATATTTAAGTTTTTTTAAAACATACTAGTCAGCTGATACGCCTTTTATCAGGATCACAAAGTAAGATCCTCATTTTCGCTACACGTTAAAATTTTATGAGGTCTTAATTTGGAGCGCGACAGCATCCATAGATTTGAAACGGTTAAATGAGCCTGTATCACGATGCTCACTTTATTTTGGTAACTTAACTTAATTTGTAGAGATACTCTTATAAATACAACACGCTGTTTAGTAGCCATGATGAACAAAAATCATTAATAAATAGGTCTTGAGCTTAACTTTATTTTAAAACTTAACATTAAAATATAAAATAATTAATTCAAAGTTCATTAGAATACAATGCGCTGTACATCATCCCAGGATTCAAGTCTCATCTGATGTAAATTAAATACGTGAACGATGTCATCAATCGTGACTACACCAAGTTCCTGAACTAGTTACTCTTCAACCATTAGAAAGGTCATCCATGATATAATAAACAAAGCGAAGATTTAAACATAAAGCCATTAACATACCTGCATGCGATTATTTATTACGCTTCACTTGCAATATTTACATGTATCAGAAATACATCAAGTCAACACGCTAACTTTAACCTTCGACATATTTCATTAATACTGTTTAAAAGGAATCTGTCCTCTTCAACATAATATATTGTCATATCACACGTACATATCAGGCATGAAAAGTAATTACTATGATCCCTTGAATTTCTAACTGCATCAGTATAATTTACCAAGATGCGTCTGATAATTTTTCTGACGTGAATCAACGCTTGCATTGCATTTCGTCGTATGAATAAAATTCCCAGATGCCCAATTATCCCCCTCCCCGATTTCTCCAACCCCCAAATCCCCGTCAATACTCATATTCCTAATCCCCAGAACGCCGTTAACGCACCTTTAACACATCTGGTGTTTTCGGTGTTCATGGACGACACCGATTGCTTACCATCAGGTGGTCCATCGGCTTGATTCGGTAAGCCGTTGCTTATTCTATAAAAAAATAAAGATTCGCAATATATAAATTATTAAAGTTTACAGATTCTTATATTTTTTCTTATATATAAGATCAATCTTATGAATACAATCCTAGACATACCAACTTAGTAACACGCACAACAATGTATATTTAAACACTAATTTGAATCTCCGGTTGCAAAAATATCTACCAAAGTCTATAGAAATGGTTGACCGCAAA